CCTAACCCCCCCCCCCCCCCGCAATTGGCTGCATCCTGCGTGAAGGTGGCACAGGCAATGCCCCCCACCTTTGGCTTGCCCTGCCTTCTCCTGCTGGACAGCAGCTTCGCTCCCTCCAGCACTGGCCAAACCTTGGCCACGACACTTGCCAACGGCTTCCTTGTACTGAGTCGGGGGATGAAGCCCCACGGAGCCCGGGTCCACAATACCTGATCAGCCGCCTCCCCTGACTGCAAGCGGGCCAGATGCTACACCCAGCATCTGGGGTCTTCCCCAGACGGCGGCGTTGGTGGTCATGGGCCTGCCCTGAGTGGAGCAGGGCCTTCTCCGGGGTGGCCCACACACAATGGGACCAGCTCCCCTCCAAGGCCTGCCTGGCAGCAACTTTACCATACTTTCAGCCCCTGACTAAGACGGCATGCGGGGAGAGGGTTGCGAATGATGGCCTTGCTGGCTAGGGATGATGGGAGTGGCATGTGAGGGTAAGAAAATTCATCTGTTGCTGCTGTTTTTAAACAGAAGCAGGATTTTCAGCACAGCCACGATTTTATTTTGCATCCTTATTTATTTTGCATCCTTATTTATCCTGCACTGCCCTCCTTCCCCAGCTGCCCCAGTGCTTCCAGGACCTTCGTTCTCCCTCCTCTGGCAGCTGGGCTGCCCCCAGCAGCTCAGTGCCAGCTGGGACAGACCAGGGGCTGGGTTTTGCATCCCGGTTCTTGCGGCCCGAGAGTTTCTCCGAAACCGAATCCATCCCTGGGGCTGGAAGACCCTGCCCGGCTGATGTTTAGACAACAGCACCTCACCCCCCTTAGCAACAGCACGGCGTTCTGTTTGCTTCCCTCCCTTGCCCTTGGCAAACGACCACAAAATATTGTCCCCACCCTGAGAAATTGGCAGCCTTCGCCCCATCTGGTTTTGGTTTAAAGTGCCGCTCGGAGTGACCCAGAGGAGGGTGACGGCCTCCACCCTGCGTCTGACACATGCCTCCCCTCTGCATTCCCAGGAAAGGTGGCCCCTACCTGGCCACATCTTCCTGCCCGTGGCCACGGGGGAAGCCACACAGGTCGTGGCGGGGGGGGGAGCAGGCAGAGGAAAGGGAGAGCATCTCCCTGAATCAGTGGAAAGGCAGCCTGGGACTTGGGAAGACCCGTCTGCGGTGCAAGGAGGGAGCTTCCCCGTCCTGGGTGCTGAGGGGCAGACCTGGCCTGGACAGCGGATCAAGCAGCACACACCTTCCAACACAGCTCTTCTCAATAGAGGACTGCCCTCCACAGAGTGGGCATCTGGCCACCCTACTCTGGGCACTGCAGGCTGTAAGCAGCCCTGTCTGGCCAAGGGCTGTTTTTGCTCTCCGCCGTTCGGATGTTTCTCAGATGCCTGGAGTGAGGTTTAGAAGGGCAGGAGAGAAATCCCATAAGCAAAACAAAACAAAAACAAAGCCTTTGGAATTTATCTCCAAAGTTGCCATTCTTGCTCTTTGTTATCTTTTTGCTGTAATGTTCCATTTTATTATAAGTCATCCTGGGAAAGAATTGTTTTGCTTTGGTATGAGAAGGGAGGGAAGTCAAAAAATAAATACAGAGTCACTTTATAAAACTTAGCAACACATTCAATTCTGTAAGAAATGAAGAGAAGGTAGGAAAGTAGGAGGGGAGAACAATTGTTCAGTATTTTTCCTCTTCCCTCCCAATTGCTTTTCCTCTTGGATCTGTGCATTTAGACTATAACCTGAGACCAAAGACTTCTTTTTGCTAGTCTTTACAAACAACTTGGGGAACTTTTGTGGGCTGATGAGTGGAGTATTTCTGTAAATGAACAAATTGTTCCAGGTTTGAACTGCCAGGGACCCAGTGTTCAGATAGATTACTCCTGTTGTTAGCTGCCCTACAGATTTAGCTGGTGTGGGAGCCAGCCACTCTCTTGCTCCCCCCACTCCCTGCAAGTTAGGATCTTGAGAGAACTTAAGGAAAGCAGCCACAAGCAATCTGAAATAATGCCTGTAGGACTTTTTCTCTTTAATCACACACTGGATTATAGGATGTTGTTCTGATTAATCATGCGGAAGAGGGCATTTCCCCATTAAAACACACACAGATTTGCACTGCTGTTTTGAAGACTTTTGGGGAAGGGGGCAGAAAAGCTAGCCAAAAATATTAAAATGCAGACCCTTGGTGCATTTTCAAGGCTAACCCATTTATTCTGGCTTCAGTTTTTGGACCAGAATCCCGGCTATCTAGGATCAAATGTCCCTGGAGATATTCCTGCAATAGACCAAATGCCCCCGCCTTGGATGTGACAGCCGGAGGGGAGACAGTGCCTTGGGGAAGGGGTCCAGCCAAGCTGGGACAGCTCCCCAAGCCATCAGTCAGAAGAGCACTCTTGTTAATTATGTGTTTTATTTGGCAATCACAAAAGCTGCCGCCCATTTAGGAGAGGCCTTCCACCTTCATATCAGCCAGCTAGGCCTGCCGGGCTGTGCTCTAGCTTGTCCTCTGACCGGCTGCCTTCCTTCCCGAGTTAAATGAAAAGATGTGAAGAAATGGGATTCAGCTGGAGCAGAGCAGAGAGATAGCCACCAACTAGTTCGGCATTCTGGGCCTGATGCAAGGAAAAGACGTTCGGAAAGCTTGGGCAAGGCAATCCCTGTGTGATCCCACTCCTTTCCAGCACTCAGGTAGACTGCCTATCTCCATGGAGGTTCAGGTCGGCACAGGGATGCACCTCAGAAGCCTAAGCCCAGTGCTGGATCAGACCAAAATTCATTAGCGACTCCCATCATCTTCCCATCAGCCGACTGACTTTCTGCTCACCCCGTCTCTGCAGAAGGTCCCTTCGTCTCCCAGTGGGGGCTCACTGGAGCAGTAGGCTGGAAAAGTGAGCCCCTAGAACAAGGGCTGGCTCCCTGCATCCATCACTCCAGATGTCTTGGGCTCCTACACCTGACTACGGAAACATCTGGAGGGCTGCAAGCATGCACAACAGACCGCAAAATGCTTGCCAAACTGAGTTTTACCATTTTTCCTCCCTTTTGGCCCAAACAAATTAATGTTAATGAAGCAGCACAGGAAGGACTAGTCTGCTTGCTCTCCCATTATCTTGGTCAACCCCGCCCGTGTTTAATTGGATTGCAGACCTGACAAAACCTGAGTTTTGGATTGCAGAAGTAGGTTTGAGATTTTGTATTTTACATTATGTCTTAAATTATGATTACTACATTGTATTTATAATTGGAGCTGCCTAGAACTCTTGTGAGCTAAAGACAAGAGAGAAAGGTTTTAAACAGAATACAAATAGCTTAATTAGCCAAGCCCCTTCTCAAAGGGCCAGCTTGCTCCAAGGTATGGGTGCCCACAGCTGGAAAGCTCTCCCTAAGCTACTGAACAACATTTTCTTGTTCCTCAAGTTATGGGGCAGCACAGAAGTAAAATGAAATAAATAAACAAACATTCTGGCATCAGGCAAGAACTTCTTGTTCAAATAGGATTAAACATTTTTCAGTGTTGCTGAATATTCTTCAACAGCTGGAATACTGTGCAAATGCTTCGCACATCAAAGTGTGTCATATTAGTGTTATTTAACAGATCCCAGGACCCTCCAGATGGTCTTGGGAACAATGAAAGCTGCAATGCAAAACATCTGGATTGCCCCAAGCTGGGGAAGTTTGCTCCAGTCTCTGTGTTAACATTTTTTTATTTAACTCAGGGGACTAGGTCACTAGGAGGCTAAGGCACGGAAAGACTCAGAGGTGCAAAGCACACCAGAATTGAACCCAATTCCCTCCCTGCAGTGCAGGGAATTCTCTGCCAGATGGCCCATCACCTCAGCTAACATTTGAGGCCGTTTTCAGAGGTGCATGGAGCCAGGCTAGGGCTGGCTCTGGGCCCCTGGGAGTGGGGGGCCTGTTTCCCTGAGCAGTGGGCGCTGAGGACTCCCCCCAGGCCTCCGCCGCCCCCATCTGTGCTGGGCTTCAGCTGAAGTGGCCGAAGAGCAGGGCTGCTTCAAGGTTCTTCAAAGCACACAGGTGCAGATTCCACGCGCGCTGGGTTGTTGGGATTGGAGCCCTCATTGCCCTCGGTCGTGGAACACACCAGATGATGGGAGTTGGAATGCAACCATGCCCGAAGGGCCACCGGCACACTGCTCTGGGAACAGAGGATAAACTGGAGAAATGGCATATGCAGTGTAACGCCACAGCCCCATTTCGGAATGCCGTCTGAAGCCACTGTGTGGAAGGCACTTGCCCACGCAAGGGGCCCTATAGCTCCCCAGGGCCAGCTGTGCCCAGGCACAGATGGGGGGGGGGCAGGCAGGCATCTCCCTACAAAACTGGGGAGCGGTGGGGGACACAACGCACCGCCAACAGCTCGCCCAGCTGAGGCACCTGCTGGAGCCAGCCTTCATTTTCCCAGGGCCACAAGGCGGCAGGACGGGGTCCCACGCCCACCCCCATGTTCCTCAGCAATGCTGCGCACTGGCACAGAGAGCCAGAGCCCCGGCCAGCCTCCTCTTCCTCCGTGAATGTATCCGATTCCCAACTCAGCGCGGAAGCCCATTAGCGGTTTTGTTCCAGACCACATCAAGCAGCCAGTCTTTGCCCTGCCTTGACTCTCCCACCCACTGGCTTCATGCTTCTGCTTCTAGCGTCGTGCGGAAGAACAGTGACTCCCACCCGACTTGACTTGGCGCCCCTCTGCCAGGCTTGCCGTGTCTCCACACTAAACAGCCCCAGATGCCGCAACTACTCCTAACAGGGGGCTTGGTCCAGGACCCGTCACTTTAATTACACTTCGCTGCCCTTTGTCTAACTCTCAAATGCCAGCTTGGGTGCACCGTCCTGCACATGCAGGCCGTCTTCTGTGCCCGCCCCCCGCCATTCTCTAGGGCTCTGGTGCCCAGGATGGAACCAGAGGGCGTGGGTTAGGGTTCAGATAACTCCCTTCAAAGAAAGCACCCAGCCCACCCCCACTTTTGAAAAGAAAAAACCAGACCGGACTTCGTTTTGCATTTTCCAACGCCTGCACAGACTTTACTGCACTGTGGAATGTGACGAGAGAAATATCACAAAAGTCAAAGGCAAGAGTGTAAGAACCCCGCCCCCCAAAACAAGAGATGGGCGGGATTGTATATTAACATAAATACGGTACAGGAAAGGAAATAGTTCTTGGAAAAGAGGTGGGGTGGGGAAGGGGGGAAACAGCAGGCTGCCCAGGCCAGATCCCAAAGAACTGGGACTGGACACGGCTTGGGGCAACATCACCCTCCACCCTGGCGTCCCCAGGGCCCTCGGAGGGCTCGAAGCAGCCCAAAGTCACAGGCCACGATCGGGGCGCACAGGCTCCCCTGCCCGCCCGCCGGCCCGCCCCCCCCGAGTTCCAAAGCTTGGCAGGGGGCCTCTGTCCTGCATTTGGCCAGGGTTGGGGGCTTCTCCCACCACGACATCTGCTGTTCTCGCCGGCAGCCCCGCGCTTCCTCTGCTCCCCTGGTGTCAGTCCAAGGCGGGGAGGGAACCCAACCTCTGCAGCTGCGGACACGTCCGCCGGCCCCTCTGCCCGAAGTCAGTCCTTCCTCCGCCAGAGAGCCCGGGCGGCTGACCGTCAGTAGGCTGGGACCTGGTGCGGGGCAGGCACGGGCGGCTGGTGGGGCAGCAGCTGGCAGCCGCTGTTGACGTGGCTGAGCACCTTCTGCTTCAGCTGGGCCACCTGCTCGCGCAGCAGGTTGGCCGTCGAGGCCAGCTCCGTGTTCTGGCTCTTCAGGCTCCTCACCTTCTCCTCCAGGCGCGAGATGCGCTCCAGCTTGCGCCGCCGGCACTTGGAGGCGGCGATGCGGTTGCGCAGCCGCTTGCGCTCGGCCTTGATGCGCTCCTGCGTGTCCATGTCGATGGGCGAGAGCGGCGGGCTGCTGTCGCCGAAGCTGGCCACCTCCGGCACGATCTGCGGCTCGTCCTTCAGCGGCGGCGGCGGCGGCGGCGGCGGCAGCCGCGAGTGCGCCTGGAACGGGCCCTCGGCCGCCGCGTACGCGCCCGCGAAGGTGCTCAGGTTGGCGTACACGGGCGGCTCCACCACCGGCGCGGGCGGCCGCGGCTGCGACGCCGGCGGGGCCAGGCTGGCGGCCGGGGGCAGCTCGCCCCCGACGGGGCCCCCGCCGCCGCCGCCCAGCTGCTGGCTCTGGTAGTGCAGGTCCTCCAGCGCCTTGACGAAGCCGGCGGCGAACTCCTGCTCGTCGGGGGCGGCACTGCCGCCGCCGCCGCCGCCAGCCGCGGCCGCCGCGCCGCCGCCGCCGGCCTTGGGGAAGGGGAAGTGCGCGCCGCCGCTGGTCGGCGTGGTGGTGACCAGGCCGTTGGACTGGATGATCAGGCGCTCGAGCTCGGGCGAGGCCAGCTTGAGCAGGCCCAGGTCCGGCGAGGCCAGCAGGGCCCGGCCCTCGCCGTCGCCCGGCGGCGCCGAGGAGGCCCCGGGGGCGGGCGCGGGCGCGCCGGCGGGCGCCTTCAGCTCGCCCAGCGCCAGGGAGAGCCCGTCCTTCTTCATGCGGCCGCCGTCAGCGCAGGGCTGCGCGGGGGCGCTGCCGGAGGGGCCGCCCGCGGGGGAGGGCGCCGCCGCCGCCGCCGCCGCCGCCGCCAGCGCGATCAACACATCGTCGTGGTAGAAGGGAACGTCCATCCTCCTCCCCGCGGGCGGCGGGGGGCGTCGCCGCGGGGGCCGCGCGGAGCCGGGCGCGCGATCCTCCCCCTGCCGCTGCGCGCCTGTCCGCCCGGCGGCGCCGGGCTCTGCTTCCGCGCGCCTCTGGAGCGCCCGCCCGCCGCGCCGCCGACGCTTTATCCCCTCCGTCGGGCCGATGACCTCACCGCGCGCGCCGCCCATTGGCTGCAGATGACGTCGGGCGCCCGGGCGGGGCGCGCGCGGGGCGGGAGGGGCGGGGCGAGGCGGCCACTCCCCCGGCCGCCGGCCGCGGCGCCCGCGTCGTCGGGGTGACCGGCTGCGTAAACTGCGGACAACAGCGCGCGGCCTCTCGGGCTGATGTCATGCGGGGCGGGGCCGCGCGCTCCGCACGGGCAGGCCGAGGGCACGGCGAGCGCTCCGCCCCGGGGGGCTTGCAGAGCGGCGCGGGGGGGGGGGGCGGCGCCTGCGCTGGGCGGGGGAGCGCTCTTGCTGCCCCCCGGTCGCTGGAGGAAAACACCCGCGGGGCGGGGAGTAAAAAGAGGAGCTCTCTGCCCCGAGGAGCTTCCCGAGCAGGAGAGAAAGCCCGTGCGGAGGTGCGGGGAGAGCGGCTGCTCCTTCGACTGGGCGCTTCTGTTGCGGGGCGGACACAGTCGCTCAAATTATTAATAGTAATACAGTGCGTCTACCTGTGTGTTTCTTTACGCTGGTTCGTGTTTTGTTTGCTGTTCGTGCATCAGCTGCTCCCGACCTGGAGCCATCCTGGTGTGCCGGACTACAGTTCCCATCGTACTATGAGCCGTCCCGAGGCTATGTAGTAAGGGGACGGCATATAAAAACTTTAAATAAAATAATACTGGCACATGGGCATAGCAGTCGAGCCCATCTGGAGGGCTCCAAGGGGGCACCTTTCATAGGGCTTTTGCCGTTTCAGTGCACACCTGGGAAGCCAAAGAGACCCTGCCCTGGAGGGCCGCGTGTGTGAGATCCGGGCATTGTGGCACTCCAGGTCCCATGTGCCTCGACGTGCAGCCAGCGATGGGCCTGTGCCGCCACTGCTCACGCCCCTTCCATCGGTGGCCCCCCGGGACGTGGCGCTCTCCCTCCTCCAGTCCCTCCCCGTCGGTTCTAGAGGGAAAAGGGGAGGGACCAGATGTCCACCTGGGACCCCAGCCCCCCACGGGAATAGAAAAGGGGTGGTCAGGCGGGCCCCTGGGGGGAGGGTGGGGCTCACGCAGCACCGCTTCTGATTGGCCCAGTGTGACTCGGGGGCCCCGCAGGGGGCGGTGTCAGCCTCTCCGCCCGCACACGCACCTTGGCCCGGGAAGGCAGACGCGCTCCCGCGGGTGCTTCCCAGCTGCTGCAGCGGGCGTGACATTCGCAGCTAGGCTCCCGGGCAGGAGTTCCACGTGTGCAGGATGGTCGTGGGGCCACGCCCCACCTGGCCCGGGTGGGACTCGAGCTGCCCCCTGGTGCACTCTTTGCAGGAGGGTTGCTAGCACAAGGCTGGGGCTTGCTTTCCTGTAGGGCTAGGCCCACTTGGGGGGCCGCGTCAGGCATGACCTTTTCTTCCTGGGTGGGCTGAGAGCTTGGCTGGGGGATGGGCCTGATCACCCCACTGGCCTCTGGACCAGACAGCAACGTGGTGCCCCACTGCTCATTTTCCTTTGCTCAGTGTGTGTTGTGCTCATCAGGGAGGGAAGATCAGGGGATTCCACCACCTGCAGATGGGGCGTGCATGTATTTATTGAAAGACAATCTCATAGGAGCTGACATGTGAGGAAAGGGGATGGGGAGGGAAGAGGAAAAACAAAGCTAGCACCCTGCTAGAACGGCTGGCAGTGGGGATGTATGGGCAACCTCCAGCACTTGGCTGACTGCTGGATGGCCTGCCCCCCTCTTGTTTGGGCCACTCATGTGCCCCCCAACCCACCATCCAAGGGCACAACCAGCCCTCAGAGGCAAAAAGTTGTCCCGGGGTGGCTTCAGGGCACTGGTGCCCTGCTGTGCCCCAAGACTTCTGCTGCTTTCTTCCCTGTCCTGGGCATCGTTTTGCAGTGGCACCGCAGCCGTCCTGTCCTGGGCTCAGGAACACAGTCTCCACGCCCCTTTTCCTGCTGGATCCCCCATGGGTGGGCTGTGGCAGGTTTTCCAGGGACATGGATGGGGCTCTGCCATTTCCCATGGCTGTTCATTTCTGCATTTTGTAACCTGCCTTTGGGCCTCCCCCTTGTGAGGAGGCTGAGGCAGCATCCACGTTCCATTTCATCCCACAACGATCCTGCAAGGTAGGTTGGTTAGGCAGAAGTCTGCAGTGCTTCTCTTGCAGGCTGCTGAAATGAGGGTCACCGCCAGCCCCAGTCTCACCAATACACATCAGTGGCTTCCCGTTTTCCCTCTGATCTGGGGGCAATGAGAGGGAAGAGGACTGCTCTCCCCACCTTGAAAACATTCCAAGTACACTTAGAGAAACACTGGAAGATGCCAGCACGAGATAAAACAAATCAACAGAGCACCCGTTCCCAACCTGATACTCTCCCGGGGCTTGGACTCCAAGTCCCATCATCTTTCAGTCAGGGTGGGCATGCCCGCAACAGCTGCAGAACTCCAGGGGAGCTACACATTCTGTGGCTTTCATTTCACTAATTAAATACTTGGGTAATCGCAGCAGAAGATCTGGCATGGGGTGCCTGCAGTGGGAGTCCCCACACCCGTCCGGAAGCCTATCAGCGCTTGCGGTGCAGAGGGAGGGGCTCCCCTGGGAGGCTTGTTGGAGGGGGGTGGGGAAGAAAGGGGCTTAACCGAGAGCAGATGGGATGCTTGGCTGCCTGCCGGTTTTCTAGGGACTCTCCCGCGCTCTGAAGCGAAGGTGCAAACAGCTCCCTCACAGCTCCCTCGCCACCAACAAAGCCCTTTCCATTACGCTGAGGAAGGAGAGCTGCCCCGGGCTGGATTTCAGCCTGTTTCATCCCAAAAGGTACAGCGGCAAGGAACTGGGCTCTCGAAGGCCTTCCTTGCTCTCTGGCTGAGCCTTTCGGGGTCTGAGCCGACCCCACTGGGCAAGACTGGACAACGACCCATAGCGCCTGGGCGAAGGAGCTCCCCAGGTCCTAACCCCTCGGGGAGAACGGGGGGGGGGATCTTGAGTGGGGGCAGGTACCTGTTTGATGCATTCGGCGATGCAGAAATGTCCCAGAATGGCAAACTGTCCATTTTTGGGACAACTATGGGACTCCCTCCCGAACACAGTTAGACTAATTCCATCCCAATGTCTTTTATAAGATGACTTCATTCCATATCTCAATTGCTTTTAATTATGCTGTCAGTGTCCTTTCAGATGCCCTTTGGGGAACAAAAGGCAGTCCGACCATCTTTTTATAATAATCAGCAAACGAATAAAAACCCTGACATATCACCATATCTGCTGACAGCCAAATCTCACGACGGAAACTCTTCGTGATCTGCCAGACATCTGCCTGCTGGCTGGGGGGCAGATGTGTCTTTTGCTGGCTATGGGGCAGGGCTGACGAGCGGAGGTCCTGCTGGTGCTTTCTGCCTTCCCCGGTGACCATCTGCTGCCCTCATTCCCCAAGAGGGATTTTGGGAAGACAAAGAATAGAGGGCCAGGAGTTCAGGGCCGCCATCCGCCAGCACATTCCTTTGGGGCCCAGCTGCCTCACACCAGATCGATTATAGGGATGTGCTGGGCAGACAAAGGGGGGCTGTATTTCCATGCGTGGATAATCACTGCAAGGAAATTCAGAGCAGCGCCCAGAGGAGCCACCCCAATGCTTGGGCACCCTGCCAGAGGCCCCTGTACCAAGGAGAGGGGGACCAGGCACCCGAGAAAGCGGCATCCGGCCAAGCGCGAGGGGCTGTCCGTTCCCCCGGCCCCCTCGGGGGACGGATCCCAGCTGCAGGCGAGCCGTGCGCAAACCCCGGGCTATTTTAGCTTCAGTTCAGTCCTTGGGAGGCAGGGTGTCCCTTTTGGGGGCTGAGGAGTTGGGCACAAATCCCGTGACTGAATACAACGTCCCGGGTTCAGCCTGCCAAGGACTCGGTGCGCAGGCAGGCGATTCCTGTTGCTCTTCGGCTGTGGGGAGGGCAGTGAGGAAACAGGGCCGGCTGGTTGCTCCTTGGCCACAGCACTTGGACTCTCGGGAGAATTTCTAGGCAACCTGTCACAGGTCATATGGAGGAAGAAGCCCTGCTTACATCCAGCGTGTCTGAAGTTTTTCGGCTCAGGGGCCCCTTGCAGGTTTGAAGATGCTCTCTCTGGCTGCATGCCAGCAGGTGGAATTCAGGCCAAAAGTGGCAGTTCCTGAGACAAAACAGCGGAGGCAAAAGTATCCGCTGAAAGCAGAAATGCAGTTCTTCAATATATTTTTTTAGACTTTAAATGTTGAGAGAGCCTCTAAAGATATTGCCAAACCATAGAAGGGCCTTAACCAGTTTTACTCAGTCTCTGAAGCACTTTTTCCCAACCACTGAGTGACCCCCTCTTATTGGGCAGTGAACAGACCCTTATGGCCCTTCACTTTTCTTCCCCAGAAGACGGTCGCTGGCCGTTCTCTCGGCCACCAAGTGTTGCTTTCCCGTTTCAGCAGGCGAGAATGCGGCTGGATGCTCCCTGCCCCTCTGCAGCCTGAGGCAAAGGGGTGTCTGGCGGCGGAGCTTCTCTGCCCTGCGGTGCAGCTGTCAAAGCCGCCGGAGCGTGGCCAGAAGCAACAGGCAAAGGGAAAAAAGGGGAAAGTCGGCCAACTCATGGAGGAGCAAGAGAGCAAAAGGCCGGACCAGCCGGGCACTGCGCCCAGAGAGATTCAACGCAAAAGCAGCCCGGCCTGGCACGGGTGTTGGCACCTTGGCCCGCTGCACTGGGGGCAGGCGAGGAGAGGAGAGGAGAGGAGGCCCGTCCTTGCTCTGGCTTCTGGGAGTCGCTGGCAGGGAGCGTCCCTCTGGCCCGCTGAGGTCAGATGCCACCAGGCCCCCCCCTGCCAAAGGGATCCTGTGGTGCCGGGCTTAACTCTTTGAC